TTTGGAGAATCTCTGAACAAATGAGACTGAATCCTCCGCTTGAACATGGAAAGATACATTGCCATATATGGGCCTCGCTGCACTACTCTGGAAATCTGCAAAACGAGAGTGAATCTTGCKTTGGAATATGGAAAGATACACCGCCAATATTTTTGTCTTTTGTGCATGTTGAGAGTAGTGCAGCGAGTTGTGCAGCGAGCCCGTTGGTGAACATTACCGTTGAGGTTCTGACAGGTTGGAAGCGCCGGGCTTCACTCGTGCAAAGAAATTCTGATGTTCTACCTTAAAAAAGAAAATTCAGCTCCCCCACCTTTTTTTTTTCCGGGGCCCCGCGCGGCCTCAAATGGTTGTTTTTTTTTTTGTTTGTTTCTTGACGCGACATCCCAATTGAGCCTACAACACCCCTCCCCAACTTTTTTTTTTTTTGGCCGACCCCTTATTTTCGGGGTGCGTCGCACCCCATGCGCGCGCGTCGTGCGCGAAGTGCGCTGCGGTGCACGTGCGGGATGCCGCGCACCTCGATGCGCCGCAAGTATCTCTGAATTTATCTGGGGGCACTCAGTTCAGGGATGAGATCTGAAGGCTGTCGTCCTTTAAACCACCACTACCTTTCCCACTGTTGGGACAGCGGGAAAATATCCTACTCCTAGAAAATCGGAGACGGGGCCCGACGACGGCCGCTGTTGATAAATCTCATCGGCGGCCGTCATTTTGTTTCGGCCTCCTAAAGATTCGGGGGGCCGACGGCGGCCCACGTGGGAAAACGTAGTGGTGGTTTCAGTCCTTGTTAACTTGTGGAAACTGCAATCACCAGGATGTTCAAAGGCCAATCAGGCATCAATCCCACCTACCCACCGATTAGGAGATGCCACTTGCAGTCTGTCTCTATAGCGACCACCGCGATATTCATACTCGCTCTCTCCTGAACGTATCCAGCCCCATTCACGACTAGATTCCATTCTGGAAATATGTGTAAAAATGACCTCAGGGTTCTTAAACCACCACTACCTCCGATCTTGATTTTGCCAACCCTGAATTTCACTGCAGCACTGAGTTTCGCCGAGCCTAGGTCCCATTGTATTTCCTTTTCGGGTACTCGCGGCAGTTGCATCCAAAAAAGAACAAGAAGAAAAACAACAAAAAAAAAGAAACAAGGAAACTTCCCTATGGCCTTGATAGCCATCAGATAATTCTATGAGGTGCTAGTGTGACTGTGCCCTCAGTGAGGGTGTCTGTCGGACGAACAACAAATGATGAACAAAAAAAAAAAAAAAAAAAACATCCCTTATGCTGTGACTGCGGTCCGATATGCGACGCTAAATTACTAGTGTGAGTATGAGGTGAGCGAGGCAGTGAGTTGCCCCGCGTGGAATACGCCCTGCTTCACTGGCAGGGCACCAAAAGGAAATCAAAACAGAAAAAAAAAAAGAAAAAAAAACACCAATTGTGTTCCTCACATACTGGCCAGATACATTCCTCGAAGAATTGGTGTGACTTCCACCTCCCTGGGGGGCTTCCCCAACATCGCTGGATTCGAAGTTCTTAGTTTTGCTTTTGTTTTCTTTTTCTCACTGTGGGCCCACAGTGTCCCAATCTTTTCCTTTCTTTTTCCCTTTCCTACTGAGCCTCCTCGAGACCTCCGTATTTTTCGGAGACGGGTGATTTCCCATTTTTTCCCAACGCTAAGAAAGATAGTGGTGGTTTAAGCCCTGCTGCAGACCCCAGGACTCAGTACTGCAGAGCTTATGCCCCCCCTCCCGGGCCTCCCCTCCCCCCTGGAGCCCTGGCCTACCTTCTTCACCCGATTAGAACCCATGTTGCACGGTCATTACCACTGGTATCTAGTCTGAAAGTTGTGCCCAAATGACTGTGCATTCTATTCAGGGGAAGACTGTAGCTAGGTTCTGAAATGCTGCACACCAAGGCCACCAACAAGCAGACATGAAACAGTAATATAGGAGGATCAGCTTCAGAATGGCTGACGAGTTGTAACGGCACTACTGCATTGCATACATATTACGCTTAACAAAAAGAGTCATTGCCCTGATCCCAGACAGCAGCAAATGTCGGCCATGCAACTCACAGCGATCAAAAAATTGTCATTGTCCCGCCGGGATGTTACATGCACTTACCGTTGCAGGGAGGCTTGGAGGGAATCGATCCCAGACCTAACAACAGTCACCACATTCTCCGTGTCCCGCAGGGATGTGACTTGTTCAAGCAATTCATCGTGCCGTGCAATAACCTGCACGCGAAGAAAATAAAGACCAGTAGAAATATAAACAAAGTTAACGAACGCATTCAGGCTCTGTTCCCCTCTTCTCTCTCTCACATTTGGCAAATAATGGTTCCTCCAAAATGACCACACGACTCAGCAACCTCCAAAAACGTCAAGCTATCTTTCAAGCTGTCTCTTCTCAGCTACATTTGTCTTCCATCTCCAGGACTAAGGGCTTACTCATACTTTCCAGAATGTACCCGATAGCAACTGCGGGCAGATACAGTCGAGAAAGTCCTAGTGTGAGGATGCTCTTCCATCCCCAAGACTAAGGGCTTACTCATACTTTCCAGAATGTACCCGACAGCAACTGCAGGCAGATACAGTCGAGGAAGTCCTAGTGTGAGGATGCTCTTCCATCTCCATGACTAAGGAGCTGGCCCCGCTGGTGCTACATTCATGCTTGGAATGCATGAACCTGGGCGTGATTGCAGCCCAGTTCATGCTTTTCTGGCATGAGCATACCACCAATGGGCCCTGACCCTAAGGGCTCGTTCATACTTGAGACTTTCCTGAACATATCTGGCAGCAATTGCGGCCAGATTCAGTCAACAATGTGCTCGTGCGAGCACGATTCTAAGCGCTCAAGATTGCGCAAGGCTGGAAGGAGGGTTTGGAACTCTGGACACAAAATTCGGATCCGGAGAGGGAGATTAGAGACAACTGAGAAAGGAGAGATGGGCAGAGGTTGGAAAGCGAGGGGACAGGTTGGGATAGACAGGTTTGAAGGCGAGCGAGAGCACTCAAGACAAGCTGGTAAAGAATGTTCGGTTGCAAAAGGCATAGAAAGGAACTGAAATAGGGTACACCAGACCAAGCAAGCTAAGAGATTAAAAACGATGTTCACAGGGGGGGACAGAGGTTCATGAAAAGCACACTAGAACAATAGGGGAGAGGTCAGGGAGAGAAGGTTGAAGGGGAGGTGATGGGAATGAGGTGTGGGGGAGATTGAACGGAGGAAGTTCAAGGGACAGAGCTTCAAAGGGGCGGGTTGGGAGGAAGAGGACGAGGCAGAAAATCATAGGCAGGGAGGTGAGAGACAGAAGAGACAAAAGACCAACGGGGGGGGAAGGAGGTGAAGTGGGGTGAAGATTGGGGGATGGGAAGTTTGGGGCATTGGTTGGATAACATTTGTTCTTTTGGGGGGAAGGGGAAGCTGGTGGGGGAGGTGGGTGGGAAAGTTCGTGGAGAAGGGCTCACAGGAACACACAGGCAAGGAACTTGAAAGGTAACAGAGGGAACGCACAGCAGGAGGTTTAGAGAGGGGGCGAGGCAGAGGAGGCTGTGAGCTTAGAAAGAGGAAGCTGCACGGCAGATTAATATGAGAGGAGGGAGGCTGATACACAAAGCACACGTATGATTCATAGCAGAGGGAGGTGGTTCTGATGGGGTTTTCGACGATAGGAAGAAGGTTGGAGAGAGATGGACACAGAGGCTAAGGCCATGCTCACCTTTCCAAATTTACTGACCGTATCTGACCGCTATTCCAGCTAGATTAGGTCAAAAACGTACTGTGAGTAGGGTCTAAAAGGAGGTGAGGAGGAGCTAGATTTGTAGGAAGGGTGCCCGGGGCACAAAAAAAACAACACAAAATGAACACATGAAACGAACCCACGTTGCTTCTTACCTCATTCCGCAGCTGACGTTCAAGCAGCTCAATGCCTTCTGTCAATTTCTGGGAGGACTGCGCTGCGGACCCGCTCCCCAAGGCCCCACTTGCAAATGCCGTAACATTGAAATCCTCCTTCAGAAAACTTCGAAACAGTTCTGCAGCAAAGTTCCAAAACCGAAAAACAGAAGAAGAAAAAAAAAAAACAAGAAACATAATGAAATGATGCAGCATTCAGAATAAAACCGCTCTATCATTTGAGCTTGCCCTTTTCTCGCGCGTTCTCATGCATCACCAGATTCACCGACGATTGCGCTTTTGCCTGGGAGAGATTGTGGTCGGATTCATCCACGTTCGACTGCAATTGCGGTCAGATACATGCATCCGGGAATGTCCTCGTGCAAGCATGCCCTAATTCTCTTCAGCGCCTCCAGACTCTTCACTTCGATGCCATTCATAAAACCCATAATAACAGTCCAGGTCCCAAACAGTCCCCATACCGGTGCCTTCTTCTCCCAGAATAGGTGGGAGCACAAGTCCGATAATAGACCCCATAACAGCCTTTGAAAGGATAAGATCCCGAACAGTCCCATAACAGTCCAGTAACAGTCCCATAAACAGCCCCTGGCAGTGCAAGACCTCAAACGGTCCCATAGCAGTCACATAACACTTTGACAGTAGACCCCCATAACAGTCCAATAACAGACCCGCATGATAGCCCCTGGGAATGCAAGTCCCATAATAGACCCTCATGAAACCCTAGGAGTGCAAGTTCCCAAATAGACCCCCATAACAGTCCCATAACAGACCCCCATAACAGCCCCTGGGAGTGCAAGATCCCAACCAGTCCCGCAACAGGCCCAGGAGGCGCACTCCCAAACAGTCCCATTACAGCAGCCCCTGGGCTGTTATGGGACTGTTACAAGGAGGCTCTGCACTTGTTTTAGCCACAGCTCCCAGAAAGGGTGAGGAGTCTATGTTGCATACCGTAAAGGTGCAGACCAGAACAAGAACCGACCCCTCTCACAAAGTACAAGATAGCGTAGCGGAAGGCTTAAATACCAATGATCCGAACAATCAATGTTGCAAGGCAGACCAAACATACATCATCATCATTCCATGGTGTGAAGGGGCCTGGGGCTCACACAGGAAGAATGCGCCAGTCCCCAACCATACACAGACGAAGAAGAGGGGGTTAGACGAAGAAGAGGGGAAGATGGGAATGTCGTCAACACCAAGTCTTCGGTACAGGTCCCAAATAATCCCTCGTCCACTGTCTTGATCCCAATGTGAAGTCTGGATCCAAATGTTGTCAAGTCCCAAAGTCACCAATCTCTCTCTCTCTCTCTCTCTCTCTCTCTCTCTCTCTCTCTCT